GAAAAGCCACCTGAAATTTCTGGGAAGCTTGAGGGAATCCTTGGTCTAAGGCCCATACACAATGTCTAGCATCTCATCATAAACACTCCAGGTTACATTTTAGGCTTAAAGAAACCAATTTGCCTCAGAAGCCTTGAGCCTTCCTTGCCTGAAGGAATGTAGTTATTTTCATAAGTGAGATTGTGGTGGTTTTTTAGCTGCCTATCAGCTGAGTAAAAACAAAAAAATCTATCTTTGTTACAAGTTTTCTCTAAATATCAGAACCTATACACAAAGAGGAGTATAAGGGGGATTGTCCTACTATATTTTTCTGGAGATCTTTGCATATCTACTTCAGAACAGTTTAATTTTAAGGGTATTAAATGTAGGTTGTATCCTTTCTAGAAAGGATTTATTAATATAGGATCAAGGTGCCAGGTCTCTACTCAATGCTTCAGTATTTATCTATGTATCTAACTTCAACAGTTCTTTCTGAAAATCTTTATTGTAAAGATTCCTGACCACATCAAGACAACTAGAAAGCATTCCTCCAAGTCTAGCTCAGCCTGCACGGGGAAATCAAGACCTTGCTGCATCATCAGCAGAAAGTGCTGAGCTCCCTGCAGGCTCTGTAGTGGAAACCCTCAGAGTAGGATGCGAAAAGAAAGAGGGCAAATCCTAGGTCACGGGTAATAACATTCGGGCCCGATATGGGATGATGCACCAGGCTTTTCAGTAGGCTCTGGCCCAGAAGAAGGAACTTGTGGTCGTCATGCAGTTTTAACTCCTCTAGTCTCAGGTTTGTGACTCTGTATCATTCTGCTGTGAAACTGGCAGACATGGATTTGGAGGCCAACTTGGAAAATCTGAAGCCAGAAGCTGCCAGGAAACAGCATCAGTCACCGTGAGTGGGACGGATGTTTTAACTGAAAGGTGAGCGAGGTCTGGGGATCCTCCACTTGATTCTCTACAACTTCCAGCTCAGCTGTATGACAACCCTGAGATGGAGAAGAGCAAGGGGTGCCCAGCAGGGGAGGGGTGATCCAGGCAAGAGGACAGCATCTTCAAAGGTGC